ACCTGTTTCTTTAATGCCTGAGGCTTTGGGAATGTATGTGGCCTTTGGTGGATGCTTTGGTAACACCCATGGTATCCGCAGCACGCAGGACTAGGCGGGTTTCACCGCTTATAAATACACCCACTAGACAAGGCCTAAATTCACACTGCAACCTCCCCGTCTCATGCCTGAGAGAGTGTGGTGAGCAGTATAGTTGATATCTATAGTATATTATGTGTGTGAACGTTCCGAGTATCCGTGTTGGTGGACTCTGCGTGTGTGTGTGTTTATTTATAGTGCTGAAGAAATATAAGCCTACTCGTCTGCAAAACAATTTCATCTGACCCGTGTCCTCCAAGCCTGGACTTGGCATTTCATCTCACACACGTCACTGTAAAATCAGGTTATATAAAGTGGATGGAAGGGCAACTCCGAGCACATGGCAGAAAGTCTTATCGCTCCAGATATAAATTATGCTTATATAGACGAATCAAGATGTAACTCCCATACACAAACACACTTAAAGAGACATAGCTGTCAGAATTTCTCAGAATATCTTATTTTATGTTCGACAGAAGAAGTCATACAGTTTTGGAATGATATTAGGGCGAATAAACGATGACAGCATTTTCATTTAGGGGTGAACTATGCCTTTAAGGCAAAGCAAGTAACTCTAATTTGTAGTAAACCGTATTACTCACTAGATGTTTGACTCCACCCATGACAACCACTCCAACAACCAGGAGGCCAAAATCTGCAGTGGAACTCTGAAGAATCTGCAGTAGGTGAGCCTGATGTTTGCTTGAAGATTGGGTGAGTGGCACATCAGCCAGCCAGTGTCTCCTCCTGCTGTCGGTCAGGTTTACAGTGCAAATGTTAAGGGTCAGGAACCAGGCCTTTCAGAGGCCCAGCTGGATAATTCAAACTCAAAAGGCCTGCCGTAGCAGAGTAAAGAAATAAAAAAATGGGTCACATGGGTTGTGAGAGACAAAAGAAAAGCAAAGCTAAACAAAACAAAAATTTAAATACTAATAGGCTACTAATAATTTAATAAAATAAAGCAAGGCAAAGCAAACTTTACAAACACAAACAAAACAAAAAAATCAAGAGTAGAGAAAAAAAAACTAAGAGAAGAGCAAATCAAAGCAAAATAAAGCCAAACAAAAAAGCAATTCAAAGCAAAGCAAATCAAATTAAAAACAAAAAGCAAAGCAAAACAGCAAAGCCAAAAAAACAATTCTAACAAAATAAAACAAACAAAAAAGCAAAGCAAAGCAAAATGAAACAAAATAAAATACACCTCTAACATTTCGCATGTATTATTTACAAAAAGAAAGCTCAGGTATATGAAAAGCATTCCTAAAGGTGTTTCAGTACATGCCAAGTGACAAAAGCCTTTCGTATATTTTGAATGACACTCTGATGCATTCCAGCCACAATGCCACAGCCATGGGTTTGATTTTCAGGGAAAGCATTAAATTATTAAATGTATACTCTGAATGCAACGTCTGCTGCTTTGGATAAAAACAACTGCCAAATGCATGAATGCAAATCTATCAGTCTGTGTAGGAGATCAAGGGTACATAAAGGAAAGTAAATATTGTTGAGAAAGTAAGAGCGGGATGTTTCCCAGCATATAGAACCACAGCGTAGTTCTTGGCACTAGTTCAAGCTCACTACTGGTCCCCAATGAGCACATTGGAACTTAACAGTACAATGGAGATGCACAAGGTTTTAAAGCCGCACGGGTCTTGATTACCCTCAATAACTGCACAAAAATTCGGCTCATTCTCAGTGGCTGATTAAATAAAACCATGCCAAAAGTGACCACAGTGTTTACACATTTTGGTGTCATTTCTTGACATTAAACTGGGAAAAGAGAAATGATTTTAACATGACATCAGCTTAAATTTTTATTTATATCGAACTGCCAACAACATGGAAAATGTCCAATCTGAAGGTTGTGTTCAGTGGACCACCATGCAGTCTCACATTATAAGTAACTCTATTCCTCATAAAAACAAATCTAGTGAGGTAAGAGTAATGCTGGTGATTAAGTGTTGCTGTATCTGCATTCATCTCCATTTCCTGCTTACGAGGCTACAAACCGAAAGACTTCTACAATGAAGGTAAAAAAAAAGAAAGACCTGAGCTGACTTTGCACACACCCACTGTAAGGATGCTTTAAAAACGGTTCTATTAACATTTGCAGAAAGTCTTACCACTAGGGGGCCCTATCCAAATAATCCAAACAGTCTCTAACAACTTCCCTCTTGAACAATTCATCAGCTGTATTAAATCTGGTTCTGCTTCATGACCTAACACAGTAAGCAAAATAGTTTAATGTACAAAATGTTTGTATTTTTAAATTATTAGGTTATACAAATACATACAATATTACTATATTTTTACCAAACTACATAGGCTCAACAATTTGCATAATTATTCAGATGTCTTGAATCGGAAGATTGATGACAAGAAGTGACAAGAATTACAGCTACAATAAACATCACTGTTTTGACTATAGTGAATATGTTGATTATGATCTATTTCTGGTTGCCGCTTACATCCAGTGTGACGAGGTCATGTGAAAAAAAATAAAAAATCTAACACTGTACTGTTTTAAACATTTAACGTGGAATAATGATAACTGTTTTAATTACTTTAAAAACAGTAGGCAGATTATAGTATAATATGGTATAACATATAGTACAGATAATGTCTCTTTCTCATTTGTGAAAACCACAGGTCACTCAGAGTTGCACTGCTCTGTTCTTCACCTGTCAGACGTCAAGAAAGAAAGAAAGCTCATTGGTGCCTGCTGCTGGACGTTTAGAGAGAAACGTCCGCACAGACACTTACAATGTTGTTGTTGTTTTTTTCTTTTCTCTCGAAGATTAAAACACCCACTCACGTGCTTAATCTGTCCAGTAAACCCCCCTTCAGCACATGGGTGACCCGTATGCAGAGGCGGTCAAAGTACACAACTCCATTACATGAATGAAAGTATGTGAAAATACATACTGCTGGTCAAATATTACTCCATTACAAGTAAAAGTTGTATTCTACAATGAAGGTAAAAAAAAAGAAAGACCTGAGCTGACTTTGCACACACCCACTGTAAGGATGCTTTAAAAACGGTTCTATTAACATTTGCAGAAAGTCTTACCACTAGGGGGCCCTATCCAAATAATCCAAACTGTCTCTAACAACTTCCCTCTTGAACAATTCATCAGCTGTATTAAATCTGGTTCTGCTTCATGACCTAACACAGTAAGCAAAATAGTTTAATGTACAAAATGTTTGTATTTTTAAATTATTAGGTTATGCAAATACATACAATATTACTATATTTTTACCAAACTACATAGGCTCAACAATTTGCATAATTATTCAGATGTCTTGAATCGGAAGATTGATGACAAGAAGTGACAAGAATTACAGCTACAATAAACATCACTGTTTTGACTATAGTGAATATGTTGATTATGATCTATTTCTGGTTGCCGCTTACATCCAGTGTGACGAGGTCATGTGAAAAAAAATAAAAAATCTAACACTGTACTGTTTTAAACATTTAACGTGGAATAATGATAACTGTTTTAATTACTTTAAAAACAGTAGGCAGATTATAGTATAATATGGTATAACATATAGTACAGATAATGTCTCTTTCTCATTTGTGAAAACCACAGGTCACTCAGAGTTGCACTGCTCTGTTCTTCACCTGTCAGACGTCAAGAAAGAAAGAAAGCTCATTGGTGCCTGCTGCTGGACGTTGAGAGAGAAACGTCCGCACAGACACTTACAATGTTGTTGTTGTTTTTTTCTTTTCTCTCCAAGATTAAAACACCCGCTCACGTGCTAAATCGGTCCAGTAAACCCCCCTTCAGCACATGGGTGACCCGTATGCAGAGGCGGTCAAAGTACACAACTCCATTACATGAATGAAAGTATGTGAAAGTACATACTGCTGGTCAAATATTACTCCATTACAAGTAAAAGTTGTAAAGACAGTACAAGTACAGTACTTGCTTTTAAAAGTACTTAAGTACCAAAAGTAAATTTCCTTTTTTATGTCAATGCACTGTTATTATTGTTGTATGTAATATTAGGGGTCATACGATGCTTTTTTAAAATTTGGTATTTGGTGTAACAGAATATGTTGACATGCTTTAATGTAAAAAAAAAACACATTCTTTTTCAAATACTGTACATGATTGTAGGTCCTCTATGCCCCGCCTCTCTCTTCCGACAAGCGCAGTGTGCTCTGATTGGCCAGCTGACCCAGTGCATAATACTCAAGTAAACGTACTTAGTTACTGTCCGCCTCTGCCCGTATGCCAGTGGAGATGTCGGACAACCGCTAATAAAACTTGTTTCAAATCCATGTATCGTTGTAGATCATTGTAAAGCCATCAAAACCTGATCAAAGATCAACATAAGTTGTTTTACCACAAACACGCACCCTTCCCTACAGCCCGACACAATAGATTGTGCGTCAGTGGCGGGTCACATAACTGCCTATTCAAATGTTTGTGCACAAAAATGAAAGCTAAACTACTGAACATCCCTTCAGCATAGACTGTGTGACATCCTGTGAGCTCCGTATCGCTCCAAATTATCCAGACACAATAGATTGTGCGTCAGTGGCGGGTTACACAACTGCCTATTCAAATGTTTGTGCACAAAAATGAAAGCTAAACTATTGAACATCCCTTCAGCATTGACTGTGTGACATCCTGTGAGCTCCGTATCGCTCCAAATTATCCAGAGACATGAACAAAAAGAGAGTACACTTCGGTAAGTATTTATTTTGTTGCGTGTTATTTTATTGCTTTCTTCAAAGCAAATGTGTTAATGTAAATTTACTTTAAAATTATTTAAAGGCAACGTTTTAAAAATCTAATTGCACACTGACAGAATGAGAAGGATTCGTTTTGGCTTGCTCTTCTGTGAAACATAAAAGATAGGCTATTAAAAATGTGTGATGTGCATATTTTTGTTGTCGCCTCTAGCAAATGATATCCACAGAGGAAGAAGACAACGAGATTTTCAAAGAGATACGTTCATGCAGCTTCCGTATAGACGTACATACGGTAAGGTCACAGAACTACTAACGTTTTGCTATAAGAATGTACGCCGATAATGTAGGCCGATGGACACCGTCCAGCCCTGACTTTCCCCCGTAAGCTTAGTGCCACTCACATGGCTTCCCATTATGTTCGACCTAAAGCAAAACCTTCAAAATCGTTAAGGTAAATAGGCTACCTAACCTAAGCTCTAGTTGTGTGCAATGTTGTTTTTGTGGTTTGACAGCATGAAGAACGTCTACACAGAGATACTGCTAAATGAACGACGCACTTTTTAATTAACAGTTAAGTTGCGCAGTTGCAAAATCCTTCATTTTTAACTTTTGTTTTGACAGTGCCTAGATTTAGGCTACTATTTGGAACCGACCATCTTAAATGTAGTCATGTCTTGACTCACTGAGTCAGTCAGTAGCCTAAAATAAACAATTAAATGTAATTACATTTTGAAACCAAAATAAAGGATATACTCAACATTAAAATATATATTTTAAATACAAAATATTTAAATAAATACAAACAAGTAAGACTTTCTCATAAGGTAATACAGAAATATGTTTGTGTGTTCATCATACACAGGGAGAAAATGGTCCCATGGTAGGCCTACTTTACATGCTCAACAGAACCATAATCAGCGAGAATTACCAACAAACAGAGGTGAGGTGTAATGGATTTTTTAATGAAATTACTGAGGAAAAAAAAAAAATTCAGGATGACTACTTTATGTCTCATTTAATGCATTTTATTTGAATTAGGTTATGGCTCAAATGTCAAGACAGTTTTGAATATAATTATAAAGGATCTGCAGCCCTTACATTCTGTGACAAGACGTTATCTCACAAGGACTCTACAATCCTCTTTAGATGTTCAGTTAAGTGCCTCATGGATCCGAAATGAACTTCAGAACCTTTACAGGCACAAGAGGGTGGAAGTACAGAATGCAGTCAATAATGCAAGTAACCTCGCTCTCTCAGCGGAGTTGTGGAGATCCAGTGAGAAGGGGTTTTACCTGACAGTGTCCTGTCACTTAATCAGTGAAAACTGGAAGCTGAAATCGCATGTGCTAGATACAGCCCATTTACTCCTCAAGCATACAGCAGAGAATGCAGTAGAGCACCTTTTGAGAATTTCAAACGAGTGGAACGTCACAGAAAAAACTCAGATTGTGGTCACAAATATTGACGGCATAAAGAAGGCCCATAACAATGGATGCAGATGGACCTATATACCTTGTTTTGCTCATACTTTGGATAGAGTTTTCAGAGAAACCATACAGGGAACTGACTGCGAATCTGTACTCAGGAAATGTCAGCAGATAGTTGCGTTTTTCCACCAAAGTGACAAAGCCTCGCAAAATCTCCAGCAGCACTGTGCTTCTCTCAATCTCAGGCAAAGTGAACTGACTCAATCCTGTGGTCTAAATTGGCTTACTACTCTCCATATGCTGAAGAACATCTCAGAGCAGTGGCAAGCCATTTTTAAGGTTTTTGTCGACAGACAAGTGGATGATCTTTGCCTGAATGAGAATGAAAGAAAAATAATGGAAAACACTGTGGCAGTGCTAAATATTCTGAAGGATGTCACAGAGCAAGTAGGAAGTCAAGGGTTCAGCCCAATCTCAAAAATCATACCGCATGTCCAAAAACTGCAGGAGAGGCTGATAAACCAATGGATGGTGGGGAATGGAATAGCGAAGAAACTGTCAGAAATATGTGACTATCATATTGGCAACATCAAGAAAAACCTTTGGTTTAGAGTTAGCACAGCACTGGACCCGCGATACAAAACTAGCGTGCTGCAGGACTCTGGAATTGAAGATATCACAGCAGAAATCAGGAAACAGATCAGAGGATCTGCAGAGCACTGCAGTCGTGACACTGAAAGTGAAGAGTCAGTCTTTCAAAAGTACTGGAAAACAACATGCATTTCAGTGAACCCTCTTGATTTCTGGAAGAGCAATGAAGAGTTTAAAAAACTGGCAACAGTGGCCCGCAAGTACCTCACAGTGGTCTCCACTGCTGTTCCAATGGAACGTGTGCACCAGCTGCAAGAATCCCAGCTTGTCGACAGTAGAAACTGTCTGGAGCCAGAAAATGTCAATATGATCCTGTTTTTGAACAGCAACCAATGAAGTAAACACATTATGTACTATACATTATGTATAAAAATTTCCTTTTTTATGTAAATGCACTGTTATTATTGTTGTTGTATGTAATATTTGCAATACCTCTGAAGCAACTTACAATACATTAGCCTACACCTACTGAATACACTGACTAGCTAGTAGTATTTTTGGAATAAAGAGCTTTTAGAATGTTAAAAACTTAGTGATCTCACACAGCTGGACACATCTATGTGTAGCCATTCATCCACATTTGAACAGAGTGGACAGTGAAATTGCTGTAAATACAGACTGATAAGGAAGAAAATAAATCAAATCTGCTAAAAGTAAACTCATTATGTACTATACGTATACTTTATGTAAATGATGCTCAGCACTGAACATTTTTCAAATACGAAATGTCAAAATGTAAATATCGGTGGCATGGATGCCACCACATCCAAACCTGTAAGCGTCTGTGAAATCTATGTATTAATCTATGAATTCAAATGTAATTCATTTAAAAAACCTCTTTTAAAAAAAATCTTAAAATTATTACCAAACATTTTTTTAATTCATTTGTTACAAATAATATAGTAGACTACCTTAAAAAAAAAAACAGTGAGCAAGCCAAACACAGACACAATAGCAAAACAAATAAATAAGTAGAAAGAGATCAGAACCATTTTCTCAGAAACGCAACCGAAACTGAACAATAGAATAAGGTGAGGCAGGCAAGGTGGAGCTACATTTAAACCAAGTCAGAAGCAAGGGATTTTGCTCCCTCCATAACTGGATGGTTTTGATACTCATTTCAGGGCATTTTGAGAAGTTGGACAGTTCTCTTTTTTAAAATACTTGCTTACAAACTTGTTGAATATGCCGCAGATTGCATCTTCATTTGGTGAGTGTTAGATTTTCTCTTAAGAAATTATAGGAAGAATAAGCTGTTAAATTTTAAGGATATTATAAGTATACAGTATATCTACAGGGAGGACGAGACGGGTTCAAAGATACAGACCCTACATGAAGGATCAGCACAGGGGAAAAAGAGGTGAGAACATAAAAGGAGAACAATTCAATTCTCTATGGGTTCTCTTTATGGAGCGTTAACAAATGGGCAAACTAAATCACAAATTTAAAATTTGTCTTAAAATCAAACCATCTGTATTTAAATTTAAAATCAAACCATGCATACTTTTGCTTTCAAGATCCTGTGCTTGACGGTCATAATGATTCAATACTAAATTATATTATGCACAGGTAAAGCACACCAGACGAGTTTGTACTCGCAAGCACAAGTTTAAGGCGGTGTTCTTAAACCATAAATCTATTGACCATACTGGCTTTAAAAATTAAAAAGTTCATTTTTGAGCGGTGTCAGTTGACTAAAAATGACAGCACCTGACACACACACTTTTTCTTGCATTTTAACCAAAAATCTTGATCCTCGAGAAAATGCTTTCCATTTCCCATTTCCACGCACATACTCTTTTTCTTCTAGGTGATCAATGGAACCCCTTACTGGATATGATTATTTCAGATTTACATCCACATACCATAGTTGAAGAGCCTGGTTTCTTACATTTCTACAAATCTATGAGTGAAAGGTTCCAATATCCACCAACATCTACTGATATACTTTTAAAGCTTCAACAATTGTTTTTCAAAACAATACAAATTGTGCAAAAAGGTCTAGAAAGGGTAGATACCGTTGCATTGTCTTCTGAAGTGTGGAACACCACAGCAAACAAAACTTATATGACAACTACCTGTCATCTGATTGATAACACATGGACTCGGCGATCATATGTTTTGGAAACCACACCTCTACCCGAAGAATATAAACCCAGTAATTTTATTGGACAGCTTCTGAAAATAGCAGATAAATGGGGAATTGGAAGCAAGATTAAAGTGGTAGTGACAAATGAAGATGGGATAAAGAGAGACATGAAAAAGGCAGGATGGGATCTCATACCCTGCTTCGCCAACACACTGGATTTGGTCTTCAAGGAGACGCTTGAGACGTCTTCTGACTGGAAAGAGCTGGTGCAAAGATGTTGTAAAATATCAAAGTATTTTTCTAATGTTGAAGCACAAAGTCACCTCAAGGCGGCACAAAAAAAGCTGCAGTTACCGCAACATAACCTGGCTCAGTCCAAAGGTGATAAATGGCTTTCTACGCTAAACATGCTAGAAAGAATCTCAGAGCAGCATGAGGCCATACGCCTAGTGCTAATTGAATTTAACGTCGACTTATTGTTAAGCAAGCATGAAAATAAAAACGTAACAAAGACAACATCATCCCTCAAGGCGTTCCAGGATGTCATATCACCAGCAAAACGATACCACTCACTCTCAGACATTATACCGCAAGTGGAAGCAATAAGGAAGAAGCTAAAAGAGTTGCAACAGAGCGGAAATGAGTTTGCTAAGGAATTAGCACAACGTTTAAATCATCACTTCAGTAGAGCCAAAGAAAATGACTGGTTGACATTGAGCACCGCTCTTGACCTGAGATACAGAGACGTCGCTGTCTCGGAGAAGGGGATTTCCACCCGCATTAAGAAAACAATCATTGCTGAAATGAAACACCTGGATGAAGAGAATCAAGGGAGAAGTTATAGACAGCCAGACAATTTTGATAAGGTTCTGAGGAGATACTTGGAAAAGGAAATGTTGCAGAATGATTGGGATCCTCTTGCATTCTGGAATTTCCCAAAAGACGAAGACTGGTACCTGAGTGAAGTTGCACGCAAATACCTGGCTGTTGCATCTACCGCGGTCCCGGCTGATGTTGCCTTTGACATGGAGAAAGCCAGACTCGTGGCCAGTCGAAGAAGCAGCTTGGATCCAGAACATCTAAATATGATGCTGTTTCTAAATGGCAACCGTTTCCTCTCTTAACTCATTTAACAAATGTGAAAATGATCATAGCCTGTTTGTTGTGAAAGATGAACATTCACAAAACATGACATATTAGCTATTATTGTCTATCACGCTATCAGCATATCAATTAATATATATTGTAAGGGGTATACTGGTTAATTAAGGTATTTTTGTATTTAGGGAGTATTTACTTTGTCGATTCAATAGTCAATATTCAATCAGTGATAATATGTACAATGCATATATCATTCATGAAAATGACTTTGTCTGCACTTTGTCAGTAACTTAAGTGACTAAAAGTTTTAACCGATTTTACACAATTTCTTGACAAACCTGTAAATAAACTTTGCATTGAATCGCTCTTATTCTGCAATTAAAAAAAAACACATTATCCCCCAGTTCCACAGACAAGGCTTAAGCCTAGTCCTAGACTAAAATGTAAGTCTGAGCTGTTTCAACTGAAAGAAACTTGCACTAACTGATCTTAAAATATATCAGTGCCTTTGTTTTGCCTCAAGATGCAGACAGATTTTTTTTAAATAAAAATTACTTAAATGTCCTAATTGAACTATGGCTTAATCCTGGTTTAGGCTAAACCCTGTCTGTGAAACCAGGCCATTGTCTCTTAAAATATAAACTGTACTTGTGGAATGATGATTGACCACAAGATGGCAGTAGGAACACATTTATGCTATAGGCCAAGAATGAAGCATATAAAATAGAACGTAATAAATATAACTTTTTTTTGTTGATGTTACATCAATCAATCCATGCATTTAAAGTTACCTCATGGTGTTCACCTTCCGCTCCCCCAATGTATTTCCCATGAAAATCCTAAAAACATTTCAATCAGAAACCATATTAAATGCTCGATGCAGTCTTGGTAGAGCTGCTCTGTTCATGTTTCACGCTTGTAGAGGTCCTCACAGTTACTAAGCCCGAGTAGCTCCATTTTAATCAAATTATTATTAAGAACAACTTACTTTTTGAAATCTAATATTTGAGGGAATTTAATCAGTCAGATCTGTTGCATCAGCATAAAAAGTGCACAAGTGCAAAGGCAAATTTCCCTGAGTCAACACACTGGAATAGCTGTGATACAGTAGTTTTTTAGCCTGAGGATGGTTATTACGCATGCAAATCTACAATACTGGAGAACTACGACATGAACAAACTTGCTCAGGTATTTTGTTTTACTCTTAAATGATGATTCGCATTGACAGTCGTGAACATCAGAACAAATTACGGCCCTCTGGTGAAGTTTACCAGCTTTTTCTTTTATTGAAAAATATAACTGTTATTTTGCAAGGGAAAGAGAGGCAGGTCATTATAGACATTATTTCAGTACAGAATGATACAGACATTAAGTGAAAAAAGATAAAACAGCAAATACCTAGAAATTAAAGAGATGGTTTTATACTATACTTTAGTGTATTGTCACCATTTTCTGTAGCAGCTGTAGGAAGATGTGGCATTATAAACTATTACAAACCTGTGTGCATGTAATAATCAAGCAAAGAAACTATAGAAACCTCTATGCAATTGTATATGTATGGTAAGAGTTTTGTCTCGGTAAGCATAGATACAAGTAAAAAGTATTAATGGGCTGAAAGAAAACTACTCAAAAACTGTAGAGGGAGCCCTGCTGCTCTCAAAAACTGTTACAGTCCAGCGTTCCAGCTCACTTTCAGTCTCACAAATCCAGTTACGGACATCTGGTCGTCTTCAAAAGCTTTGCGTGCAGTGTGATATCTCCACGACCACTTCCTTAACCCATAAATTGAACAAAAATAGGGCAGCAAAAGAGAGGAAGAGAAGACATTGGCACATTTGATTATCTTCCGTTTGTGCTTGCAGACAAAACGGCACGATGCAGCATTTCAACCAGATATAAGGCAACACAAGCCTCTCGTACCCCATTAATAAAGCCCTTTCCAAACCATCCTATACCCACCCTGAAAAGCACCCTAAGAAACATGGAGTCAGCATTACAAACATCTTTCTAGAGCTCTTATAAATCGTACCTTACTTGTTCCTCTGTTCAAACATGCCGATTTCACAAACCAACGAAAAACACTGACAGGTGAGCAAGGAAAGAATGTTGCTGTGGTTTTGGAGTGTTAAAGCTGATACAAAACCTTACTAAGCTCACAAAGTGTAGGTAAAAGGCCACAGAGAGATCTGAACAAACAATTCTATACCACAGAAACCAACTGAAAATAACCAATTCTACAAATGGTGCTCTCTTCGGTTCCTAGTGTGCTTATATAATGTCAGATTACAGGGCCAACACTGTTGACTAAACAATAGCATCAATCAAAACACTCAAATATACAGTAAATTAATAACTGAACATGATGTACATATATCAAGAGTGTAACGCTTTTAAATTATCTCCACAAAACAGAACGGTGTCATAAGAAAAAAAAAAAATCAATTTCCCAAAGTGTACAATGAACAGTTAATACTTGATTGGCTACCAGGACATTAATAGATGGTAATTATTTTATGTTTTCAATGGTAAATCAGAGACTATAATAGTGTTAAGTATCTTGCCAGTATTTGGGGAAATTTGCTAACTGTTAGCATAGTTTGGAAAGTCTCATTATAGAGACCTAAACGTGACGCGTGTAGTTTCTGTGGCACTAACATATTTCAAACATTTCCAGATCTGCCACTGGTCAAACAAATGCGTAGTCCCGCCTTCAAACTCTGACGATTGTTTGTTATGGAATATACATTTTTGTCTACATTTAACTGACGCAAAGGGTATGGCACTAACTCACAGAGTGGCTATACAAGTTGCAATCTCATCATGGGGTGTAGATCTCTCTTCAAACCTAAATACAGAACTATAAGAGTTATTCAGAGATGAAAACCCTCCAGGTCCACTTCTGCTGATGAGCACAGCTTGAAGTTCGAGGCACTACACTAGACCCTGAATAAGAGTGCTACGCTCTTCATCTCTGAGCCTATACAATGATAATCAAATAACACACTCATCAGCCCTCTTGACATCAATCCTCATTCACACACACACAAAATTAAAGTCATAATTGGTTCCACTTGGACTGATTCTACTGCCTACAAGTAATCTGACGTCACCACTGCTTTTGGTTTCTGCATCCCATCAATCTGAATTCCTCATGATTGAGAATTTCATGTGAGCCGACAGGAAATCCTCTTAAACATGCATGGACCACATGACAAAGTCCAGATCTACTACATAAACAACACCCGATGGGAAAAGGGTAACGTATGCCAGAGGTAAAGTGTTCTGTTGAACCTCCAAACACGTTTATGGTATTCCAATCATCATTTAAGGTTTTGTATACAAAGCAAAATTTAGGATATAACTTAAAGATGGAATCAAAAGCTGTAAAACATAGGAAAATGAAGACTGTTGGCTTTAGCGTTTTTCAGAGTTTAAAGGCATTAGCAAGAGTACTGCGTCGATCATGGGAGAATGTGAGGCTTGGTTTCAACCTCCTGTATCAGCATTCCAAGTGGTCAACACTGGAATTCATTAATGATACTCACGAGACTGTAATTACCATTTGAAATGGAATTCCCTTGCTTCGGCATATGCAAACACGCAAGCACATTCCTCTCACAGCTGTGGTGGCTCTGGTGAAAGTCACTAGTAACAGAAGGTTTGTATACCTGAACTAGAAAATGTAATGAAAAAGCATTATCAAGGGCTAAAACATACGTTTTCCCTTTCATCTCCATTATAAAATCAGTCCTCCAAGTCAGTGTGCGAGCTTTACATCTACCAATCGACCACAACCCACCTCCACCACTTCTTTTACTCTTTGCAAAGACTGTTCACTTTACACCCTAATCTCGTCATCATCGTCATCATCATCATCATCATCATCATCCATGTAGGAGAAGTCCCTATCGTCTTGAACTCGAGGTGAGCTGCACTTGATGTTGTTCATGTTCCCCTCATACATCTGATTGTGGGATTTTTCATCCAGCATGGTGGACCCTGAACTGGAGAGGGAACAGCTGTCCAGGTGTTGACGGTTCCTGGTTTGGAGCTCTGGAGTGTAAGGGTCGGTGCCCGGCCTTTGCCGTGGGGGCCGGATCGGAGGAAGAGGGTCCTCTTCTTCCACCTCATTGGGAGGGCTCTGGGGTGGCGAGCTGCGCCCCTCGCTACTCTTCCCTTCTTCAAATCCCAGGTCGTCATCGTCAAAGCCCTTCTTGTTCATCACGCCCAGGATGTCGCCCAGCATTGAGGGACCCAGATCAATGTGGAAAGACATGATGGACTCGGCATGTTTCATGCCTCCGGTGTAAGGAACCGATGGACGCAAGTCAGTCAGCTCTCCATAACTCCTCTCGTCCAGCTCCACGTCTGATACAGCAGGCGCTGTGGCTCCATTAAGCGGCTTTACTTCATCTTCTGGAAGTTTCTTTAAAGGACTTGAGGACACGCTCTTGGGAAGGTGGATTCCAGTACCTCGTCCCGCATCATCGTCATTCAAATATGGCAGCGAGATTGCGTTTTTTACATAACTCGGCGAACCACCAGGGGGCGCCAGTTTGGATTTGTCAGGTTTGTCGCGATTGGCCGATTGGGAGCGCTTGCTGCTTCGGAACGTACGGGAAAGGAGGCTCTGTTTAGGTGAGCTCTGCTGTACCTCCGGCTCCTTTGGTGGCTCCCCTGAGCGACTGCTAAGAAAGGAGGTGTCCCCAAACGCGTCGCCTCCTCGACCCACGTGCATAGTGTGACGGAAGTCTCCTAGAGGTGCGCTGATCATCTCCGCAGTCAGGTCAGCACGAGAACGCCGCTTCGACTGGGAGGACGAGGACATAAGCTGCTTCAGAATAGGCATGATGACTACTCCAATACGGTCCACAGAAAAATAAAATCACCAACGTCTTTCTTTGCCAAGAGATTAGTCACTCTTTCCTATGATGGTGTAGATCCAGGACAGTGGTCAGGATGAAACTTCTTCCACGTATCCAGGACACATGGCCATTTTTATCCTTAAAGTATAGCGTCCAGCTTTCAACATCTGCAAATTGACCTACAACAGAAGAGAAAAGACATAAATGCCATTTTATTTTATATGGCTGACATTTTACTACCAAATTGGAGAAAGATTATTTTTTAATTTTAGAACTTGAGTTGAACCGTCAGCTGGTGGAAATTATTGGAATTATACATGGTATTTTGGACCGTGCTAATGATATCACATATTAAATGTATGTCCCATTTTGTTTTGAAGGATTAATTGTAATGGAAACTTGGCTTTGAGAAAGAAAAAGGTAGAACAAATTAATGAAGCATTTCAACACTAAAGCCACTTGAAGTATTATGTAATGCAAGAAAGGAGAGGTATAAGAGGTCGGAAAAGAAATTCCTATTCCATCCATAAGCCTTTTTATTGTTCTTGGAGGAAGTGTGGTCATGAAAGGGTGACACGCTGCACGAGTGTTGATTTGCAGAGCTCCTGTTACTGAAGGATTTACTTTAGCATAATGGCCACCACACCACCACATAAACCAAAGCTTTGAACACTTCCAACTTGGTGAACTTATGAACCATTTGTTTACTCAATAAATGAATCTGGAATTAAACCACACAAAATGCATGCCAAATTCTAGGTCCCAATTATTATTGACTTATATTAATATGTTAGCATTAGGACTGGCATAGGACATCAGTGCTCTTAAAATGATCCCGGGAAACCACACATCTGAGTACATACTGTTATATTTAGATGCAATTGTAATTTAGTAAAAGAACAATGTTATTTTTTTAATGAGAGTTCTACTAAACATGAAGTTGAAGTGAAAGTGGCAATTTTGCACAAATGAAAACAAAAGGTTGCAATGCAGACATCGGGTATAATGTGGTCCAAGGCACAAATCCAAGTTGCAAATCCCCTTTCTTTCCAAATCCACATTCACTTTGTGATTACATAACTATGAGCTCAGAGGATCCTGTGAGCCCAAAGCTGTAAAGGGTTGCATTTCTTCCTAAATTCAACTCCATCCAGTGCAGAATTCTCTGTAGTATGTGCCAGGCTCTTATATCATGAGGAAATCTAGACCTTTACTCTTTGTTGTACTCCACTGCAGCTGCCTGAGATTTTCCTGCCAGGCCTATTGCTGACAACGCAGTTTTTCCTTTTCCCCAGACACCTTGCTTGCATTTTTCACCCTTCTTTTTTTAACACTCCTTCCTTTTCATATGCAACTAGGTATGAGAATATAAGGACTTTAAAGATTCTGTATCCATTTCACAATTTGGGTCACATTCTTACTGCATTTATTGCCTTTAGGAGGCTGGTGTCAAATGATGAGAACATTTCAAAATGTCAACAGTTCTTGCAATCAACAATTTAAAAACTCTGTTTCCCATAATTATTGATTTGCATTTATTGCATTTAGTGTTTGAAAGGTTCTTGATTTATTTGCACAGACAAAATTCAAAGTATGGACAATGGAATGGCATGGTTAATCGAGGTTCCAAAAACTGTTAAAGAAACGTCATGAAAATCACTCTGTTCTGGAATTTTTAATAAGTAAATAAAAATATATAATGTAATAAATGTTATATATATATATATATATATAACATTATAATGTAATATTCTAAAATAAAATGTAAATAAAGCAAGCAAGCAAAAAAATAAATACAGAAATAATGTGAATAAACGGAGCAAAAAGAAGCAAATAATTAAGTAAATACAATAAGCAAATAAATAAAACATACCATTCTGTTTAACTTTTAAATAAGAAAGCATTGAATTTGCTGATGCCATTATTGCTTTTTTTTTTAATGGGACTTTTGTTTGGAAGAACCAGTTCTTGTTTCTCAGCCCTGTTTGAAACCACTTTTTTCTTTCTATTTTTTTCACCACTTCCCTTTGTCCTTTCTCTTAAAGTGAAATATACTGCATGTCTTGGAAGACTAATGATGGTTGTATCATCCTATTGTTATGTCAATGTAGAGGGAATGCTTAATACGAGAGAACTGAAGTGCTCTTAGACACTGGGTTCACCGAACTTACTGATTCCCAACTGGGCACTGTGATTTATGGTTTAATAATCGGATTATCTGCTTCTTTACACAGGGGAGGCCTATTAGCTTTGACTGACCACCAACAGCAAACAAAAGACTTGAGACGCACCAATCACTCAAACAAACCAAGATCAAAGACACAGAGTTGTACAACAAACATAATCCTTAAAATGACTAGTCTGATTTTTCTGAAACTAAGATGGAAACGTATCAACAAAGTGCTTGTCACCGTCTAGACGGTTGTTCGCAATTCTCCATGTTTTCAAACATGACTTCATAGCCAACCCCTGGTTGTGTGCATGCCATCTGGATGAATGAGATCCAGGCAACAATATTCCAAAGACACGTCACCCCACCAAAACATTTGCATCTCTGACAACAAAAGCCCATTGAGTGACTGTAGCTGTGAGAGAACAGAAGAGGGTTTGATAAACGATAAGCTCTCCACTTGAGTCAAAGAACTGGGCGTCCCTGTGGAGGATTCAGCTCTGCCCGCTGGCAGGTTGACCTCATTGTTGAATCACAGCATATCGCCCCACTCTTGAGGTCTCTAGATAGATATGTTGTGTGTGTTTGCATGCATGCACAGTAATGCAAGACAGCCTAGTTCCTGAATAAAGGATTTCCATCACACAAATCAATGGAATCAAGAAAGGGCAGAACATAATTAACTTGAATGCCGTAATGGTAAACGCAAAACTTTGCAAGGATTTTAACAGATTCAGATTATAGTAGAACGTTAGTTCATATGGCAACTTTTTAGCAAGTTACATTTTAAAATGCAATATTTGCTTAAATAAAGAAAATCACATTTGAGGCATTTACTCTGTTGTAGAACAAAATGTGAAAGTCTCTTCAAGTAATAATAACCTCAGACCTCATTTACTCATAAAACCGCTAGGAAATTCCCAAGGGAACCCATGCAGAATTAGCTTTCCAAATTTGGTCTGAAAATTGATGTCATAAATCACAAGTGTACAGATCTATTGCTCCAATGGTAGGAAAATCCCTTAATATGGACTGTATATATGACTCAGGAGGCATGATTAATATCAATATATTCTGGTTTGCTATAAAAATGTTATATGCAATCAATTCAGTTTGTTCTATTAATTAAAGTATTTTTAATCCATTAAAAAAAAAAAAAAGAAACTTTTAAATTAAATTAGTAAAGCATACCATTTAACTCTGAACTGCCAAGACAAAACTTTCATTACAAAACTGGCATACAATGCAAATCTAAAAATATATAGGCTACCTTGACTTATACATTTTAACCTAAAGTCTTAAATTAAATTAAATGAAATAATAAAATTAAATATCCTTATCAGTTCATCATCTCCAAATTATTTGACTTTATGGGAATTGGAAGCTAAAATGACCAAAATAAATTTTCTGAAATAGTTGTATTTTTTAAAACAAAAAAGGGAGTGATTAAAACAACAAAATTACATTTTTGTTAGTTTCGAATAAAAATAATAGCCACTTTAATTCATTATTTTATATGTATTCACCTTGTGTTGTCAAACATCATGAATTGAATAACCAATCTTCACAAAAATGCTGAGAGACTTTGGTCCTGTTCGTGCCCGTTTCCATTAATCACACAATCGAAACGCTTCATTAGCAGCTCCACTCGGGGGATTTCAGAGCATGTCATTTGTGTTCAGCATCATTACACATCAAGACAAAATCCTAACAGCTCCTGAAAGACAACACACCAGCTAAAGATCGCTCTCCCCCTCTGGACATGTGTGTACATATCAGAGCTCACTGGAGACCTACAACTTCACAGCTGCACGGACCCTCGTGATCAAACTCAGTGAGGGTCTAAGCACACATCTGCAGGGCCTCGTTTCACAGCCTCCAAACTGGGATACCAGGAGACCCGCTTCGTTCTCGTCAACATTCCTGAGTGTGAAGCACGCAAACACTCTCACAAGAAAAAATATATTAGTCCATCTCATCTGGCAGGAGGCTGTTATGGCAATGATGGTAGAAAAACAAGGGTTGGACTGTGGGTTAAAAACGGAGAAATATTTTTGGGTTTTGAGTATGAATGTGGCCATCAAACCCACAGCCGTATTCATACAAGGCACTTCTATGCACCGTGAGAGATTAGGACCAAGGAAAATAAAGCAATCATGGTATAAATTATTCATCTTCACCACAAACATAATTTGTCTCACGCGGTTAACTCATGATGTCACACTCTCTTGCGTAAGGACGGTGTATCTCATGCAAAGCACTTGGGAGGAAGTACCGCCAGCTGTCACTTAATGTTACTGTACTTTTATTTATAGACCCGTTTTAATCTTTTAAGAGTGATCATTACTTATTAAACAGGGTACTACTGCGCTCTGGAAAACATTATAACCATATTCCATCAAAAGAACAGCTCTCTGTTATTATTGTTCAAATGACTGACTATAACATTAAGAATGACTACGGCATTACACATTATATAAAGAATATAGTCACACTTTAGACATAATATGCAGCTAGATGTCTGCAACCTTGTCAGTGATGACTATTCACATTAAAGCATGACCAGCACACGTTTTTTAATAGTTTATTATTTTATAAATACTTAACAATGTTAACATTTACAACATTTAGGCATGTGACCAATAAAGTAAAACAAACAAAGTAATAAAATATGCAGTTAAGCAAATAAATAAATAAAAGTAACATAAATGTCAAAAAACAAAAATAAGGAAATAAAAATAAATGTTAATTAAACAAAATAGGTCATGCAAATATATGAATAAAATAAGGCAAACAAATAAATGCATCCTACATATAGAAAGAAAGAACTTAGCAATTTGTCTAAGTAACATGCAGAAAAGGCCTGTGATTCATTGAGATCTAGGACAACATTTGATTCATGTCCAGATAAAACATTAGATAATCTCTTTAAGGCTTAACAACACCCCTTTATGAGTCTCGGCTCTAGAAGAGGTGGCTGGTGTCAACTGTAAAACACTCTGGCACAAC